CTAAAACTGTAAAACTGATGGTGCAAACAGAACGCAGCTGTGCCTTTGTCATCCCACTCCCAAACTGTCGGTATAAACAGCGCAGCTCAGGACGTGTCTCCGTCCACCACCCCACCCCCGACAAAAATCACAGACAAGATGAGTGCCCTGCCATGGCAAGTTATCTAGGGGAAACACTGACTTCTGAGGCTTTTCTGTCAGACATAACTACAATGCTAAGCCTTTGCTTTCCAAGACCATCAATGACCTCGCTGCCAGTTCACTGAGGGTCCTTTCTGTGACCACTTCTTGCAGTTATAAACCACTTCAGGCACTTAAATCTTTTCACCTGTCCATTTTTCCAGGTAAACACAAGAGTACCAATATCTTACACCTGACTTGCTGCCTGGCACAAAACACAGCTTAGAGCTACCAATGTAACAAGATAATTGAGGTTATTCACTTTACTTGACTGGTGTTTATAATGCTGTGACTCTCAACTTACCATGTGGACAGTAAACAAGTCCTGACGATTCAGCATGGGAAGGAAATAGGACCATGCAGTGTTCTTGGTCTTTTTGGCATAGTCAAAGAAGATGTTCACCCTCTGATGGTTCTCCTGGATGACAAGTTAAGTACAATCTTGGATGAGGGCTTGCTCTGCAAAATTGTATATGAAACTGACAACATGAAGTAAAATTTATTGCTGGAAGCAAACACACAAGACGACCCTCGTATATTAAAATGCAAATGAACATGTTAACTCCCCAAAAGGGGAACTGTTATTGTACTTATTCCTTCTAAAAGTTTAAATATTTCCTAGTAAGATACAAAAAGGTAGAAAATTACTGTCTATAGATATTTCTACCACTCCCCATGTATTTGTGGAATATCTGCAAAACCTAAATCAAATTCATTCTTCCTGAGAGTAGAACAGTGTGATCTTCAAAGTGATGCTTATATAAATTTAGCTTCAAATTTATACCTGTCAAATTTGTTCAAACCCAGAGTTTCTGTCTGTTTACCTGCAGAGTGTCATCAATCAGAGTCAGGATGTACTGGACAGTCTGCTCCTTGGAGATGTGAGCCATCAAGTTCAGAAATGTTTTTGCACACTAAAATAAAAGCACAAACAAAACTTGTGTGACATAAAAAGATCAACAAATTGTCTTTTTTTTTTGTTGTCGTCAGGCATGTCTGAAAATGAACTCGACACAAGCTGATGTCCACAACATGCAAGCTTAAGACTAAAAAGTTTTGTCAACACAATTTTCCCAATGAGCAGTGATCTCTTTAGGACGACTTCAGAGCAACAATAATGTAAGAGAAATAAGCTGCATCAAGATGGACATGTTAGTGTTGGGTACAAGGGGAAATTAAATTTAAATCAGAAAGTCAAACCTTTTTAGAAGTGGAAAAATGCTTCAAGTGTTTTTAAGTCTTATTGCTGAACTGCACAATTCTAACATTTTACAGGAATAAAGCAGGTTAAAGCAAAGTGTGCAAGGATAGTATGCTGTGCTTTCAGTCTAAGCTCCTGGATCTTAAATGAAGATGATGGAACAAAGATATTTGTGTTTGCAATAGTGTTATGGGAAATACATGATTGCATTAAAACAACTGCCAGTTGACTCATTCATTTGAAAGAACCCTAAAGTTTATTAATGCTCCTAATCATTGTATTATACAAGTTATAATTTGCAGTTTTATTAGCTGTATACAGCTGTAAAACCGATCTGTCACATATTGCACTGGTTGAGTTGAGTGAGCACAAATTATTGACAAACACAGATGTGCACATGGTGCACAAAGATTACCTGGTGTCCCTCTTTGGTCAGAATGAGTTGTTTCTCTTCAGAGTTGGCCTTTTCAAATTTCTTGATGAACTCACAGTCCTCAGTAGAGATCATCTGACTCCTACAAGCAAATGAATAATTAAATAAATAAATACAAAATTGCGACAAAGAAATGTTGGAACATGACTGAAACTTGGTGTTAATTCAGATTCAGTTTGTTTATAGCACCAATTCACTGCAAAAGTCACCTCAGGAGACTATAAGTAAGTCAAAAATCCACCTAAGGAATGCTTGCACTAAAACAAAATATCTGAACTGGGGAAATGACTTCAGGGGAAAATAAATCTAATAAATAATCGCAAGTACATTTCTATTTTATTTTTGAAACAAAGGCATCCATGTCATTGACACATTTGTGGGTTTTCTTGTCACTGACATGCCCCATTAAATTGCAAAATGCAGCTTAAGCAATATTGGTAGGTAACAGATCTGATGTGCTCTAGTCTAGATGAACACACAACTAGGACAGTAAAGTTTACAGCAAAGGTACACATGTAAACTTATCACACTAAAATCAGACCACTGGACATAGAGTGGCTCAAAAATTTGGCTGTGGGTCATAAATATGAACTGCTGTACAAAAACAGTCAACTTAAAAGAGGAAGTACCACTCAAGACAGTGAATCACACTCAATACAGGATTACCAGGAAACGCTGCATTTAGACATGTCCTGGTGCATGCTCAATAATCCAGGCAGATAAATCTAACAAATCTAATGAAACAACATTTTGTCTTTTATCCAGAGGACATCTTCAGTCTTTTGGATAAATGACGAAACATTTCAACAAAAAATAATCCATCCAGAGGCCCTGACTCAAACTTGTTAGACTGCTTTTAGACACTTGCACTGTAACAAACTTGCAATTATTTCCCCCGTCACAAAAAAAAAACGAGTGATTTTAGAAGCCCACTGGTCTGAAAACACTTATGTGCTGACTATAATACAATAATACAGGGGAAAAAACAACTAACAAAACCCCACAAACACGATTAGTCAGTAAACATGTCGTGTGCCAAGTCAAATGGAACGTAGGGGCTCCATATCAAGTTCAAGTCCAAGTAGGTTTTATTATCATTCGCATCTAATGTGATACTTGAGGTGGAATGAAATTGTGTACACAGGGTCTCAGTTACATCCAACAATAGCAAAAATATAAATTGTAAAATGAAACAGTAATAAGGATCTAAGATATAAACTAAGAAATACACTCATCTAAGAATATGCTGAAGTACAAAACAATACGTATATCATTTTAAGTAGACTTTATAAAGTACGTGGATATATAATAAAACAAAATACAAAAACTTTTCACATCAACACTGGAGTGGAATTTAGCTGCAAAACTTGTTGCATGAACATCTAAAACCAAAACGTGAATTTAGTAGTCATGGCCAATCCACCAGAACTGCTATCTCTACATTATTTCTACATTTCAGTTGCATATCCAATGAAATTTTATGTACAAAACAAACAAACATTTTCTGAAATCAGTTAGAACTTCATAATAATAATAACAGTAATAAACTTACTGCAGGTAGGATTGCCAGTTGACCAGATTGGCCCGAACCTCAGCTGCTTTTGCAGCAATGATGTTGGTGGGCACTGCAGCATCCACAGCCCCGCGAATATCCATCTTGTAACAGATTTTCTAAAAATGATCTATTATTAAAAATACCACCTGTGGAAAAATAACCAACAGACACACAAAACCAGGTCAGATGATAGGTTTCATTGCTGTGATGTTTAACAAGTCGAGGGTAGTAAACAGCCTTTTTATAGACATATTTATAGCTATAAGTAATTAGCAATAATATATAGTTTTTAATATTAATTGTTTTCATTTGACAAGCTAACAGGAAAAACCAGCTAGCTCCTGTGTTAGCTAAGCCAATCAATGTCACGATTATTCATTAAGGACCTTTCAGGGATAAAGGGTGATAATAGTAAGCCGGTGGCATTTCACAGTAATCGGACTGTAACCCGAAATATTTTAAACAAGAAAAACAGCCATATTTAGCGGTTTACAGAAACACGAAGCACCGTTAGCTTGCCCATGGGCTAGCTCCAAACCACCACTAGCTAAACATGCTAACCGTAAGTAGCTCTGCTAATTTAGCTTCGAATGCATTCTGGAAACTGTCAACATAATGAGAACTACATGGGGAACGACATAAAATGTAACGCAGTTTAACAAAAAAAAAGTGTGTTGGCCAAATTATTCTGTATAAAAAAAAATAGCTTGTATACGTACTTACCCTGCTGTTGTGTTGTGCTAACAGCTGACAGACTACAACACGGTCTGTCATGTGACAGTCAGGCGGTCACATGCTTCCCTTCCGCAGCAGCATCTGTACCAAAGGCAAGTTTCTCTGAAGTTTGAAACGATTTAATCAACATACAGATGAACTTTTTAAATAAATGTTGCCCCTACTATAAAACTACTTGAGGTTTCTACCAAACGTGTAGATTTAAAGAAGAAATAGTGAACTGAGAGCCACACAGACTGAGCCTGCAACAACAAATCAGTAACACAACTGCACATTTAACTCACATGTCTTTATGTTTATTATGATAGAATAAATATTGTGAAAACTAAATAGAGAATTATAAGTTGTTGATTTTTTACAGATAAGACCATGTCATCTTAATAAATGAAGACCAGCTCATTTGATAAACATATTTGTTTATGCTTCATGTGACTTACTTATTTAAATTCTGATTTGTTTTATCACAGGACTATCTGTTTTATTTTTGAGTTCTAGTGCGGATGAAGTCACTGCCCAATGAAGAGGTTTGACGTTTATCAACACAAACAGACTGGCACAGCTGAAGATTTATTATAAAGGAGAAATTATTACAGAGCATAAGCAGTCATGAATAATTCCATGCCTGTCACTGGTCTCCCTCTTTGTCCATCTTGTTCAGACATTAAGACCTCCAGGTTTAATCTGGCCTAAGCTGGTGAGACGCAGTAAAGCAGAGGAATCAGGATTGCATCCAGTGGGAACACTGTCCTAATCCCCTTCTGCCCTCTCCTTTGTAAACACTCGTTGCATCGTCAGGGTCGTTGATGCTTTCCCCGCCTTTTTTTTTTTTTTTGTCCCTACAAAAAATCTTTCAGTTCAGACAATGCTGGGAAAACATAGAAGAGAGGAATGGGAATGCATGGATTTCTTATGATCTCAAACGGACTCGGGCCTCATGTGGCGAGTGAGGCTTTATAGTCAGATCATGCCATGTGCTAGTGCAGCGGCGGTGAGGCAGTGGGAGATCAGGCCCACGTCTGTGCTGCGGGGGATCAAACGCACCAGGGTCCTGATGTGGCAGTGGATACAGGGACTGGCCCGGGCATGCAGACGAAACGTGAGCTACCAAGTCAACTACAACACTTCTTACCAGGAGGAACCAGAGATGGTGTGCCTTGAGGTATGAACATGTGACTTTTCATAAAGTCCTGTTTATTTTTCATGATTGAAATAAGGGTTTCAATTCAGGTAGGTAGAACCCAAGCTATATTAAATTCAATTGTAGCTCTAATAATAAGACAAAAAGCAAAATGACACTGATCATTGTTGCCTGCCAAAAAACAGTACCATACTGGATTAAAATGGTCCCTACAGATAATTCATCTAACATTTATAATTCAATAACTGATGGCATTAAAGAAAACATCCCTTAACTTAAGTTCTTTTCTTCTTACTAATAATAAATTGCTCTAGTCTTAGCTGGTTTTGCCGCACACTAAACCTCTATTTACAGAAGTACTTCCAGTCTAAACAAGGCTTAAGAAGATTAAAAGGAGAAGATGGTGCGCCTGGAAATAGTGCAATTTGAGGTAACTCTAAATAAAGCCGTGGGGTCGAATGAAATGCGCTGCAGCCAGCGTTAACGTCCGAGTGCATCGTTCAGTAAGAGACATCTGAGCGGTTGTGTTGTAAAGACACGAAGTGGCTAAATGAAGGATTTCACGTAAAGTTTGAGAACGATTCCAGGTAAATAGATAATTAAGGACTTCCTACAGCATTCTCTATTGAGGAGAGCTGTGTGGCTATTCAGAGGCAGGAAGGGATTGGACGGCACAGGAACTGCAGTCAAATCTGACTGGGAGGTCAAAATCAAGAGGGCACTTAGTCCAGGTCATTGGCGTTCATTATGCACACTCCAGTGGTCGGATCTTATAGCAGTCTAACAACAACTGAAGGAAACGAGTATGCAAACATGCAACATAATTGTGACTTGAAAATCCTAGCTGTCTAGGAACATTTTGTACCTTAATGTTATGTATGAATTTAACAAGTAAGTATTGAGGTCTGAATCAATGAGGCCCTCTTTTTATAGCAGACATTTTTAGTGGGAAAAGCACAAGAGTTCTTAATAACCCTGACGAAAGCCCTCCACCTATTCACAGGTGTTTTCACTCATTCTCTCTGATTAAACCTTTATTCACACTGATTTTAAGAGGCACTTCGACAGCAGATTACGAGTCATCAGGGTCTGTGAACAAAGTAAATAATAATGTCATTAGTTGTCTTACCCAGAACAGATGCAATTCAAGTGCCTGGAGAGCTGGCAAACTGTCTTCCCTTCAGCTCAAACCTAGAATTACGTTTCCACGGTCAGACTTCAAGAGAAGGGACTGAGTTTGTATTAAATGTGCCGTCTCATTTTTCACACTGAGGAGCGTTGACGTCAACCTTTTAATATTATGGAAATAATGTAATTAGCCAGTCTATCAGTTCATGGTTGTTGACTTCGGTACCCTATTTGCTTTTGATGGATGTGTTTGTTTTTTTACAGCCCAGGAATAAAAATTGGGAAATGATAATTGGCATGTATAGACTAAGTATCTTTTTTTGTTTGTTTTCAGAAATGTTCTCTTTAAATCAAAAAAAAAAGTTTCTACCTTGTACATTTTTAATACAGCGCATTGTCATGTGATAAAAAGGGACAGTTCAATATACGTTATTGATCCCAAAGGGAAATTTCATAAAGTTACATAAGTTCACATATATAAGTTCATAAGTTATAACCGTTTTGGTCAAACCTTGTAAATATTATGAATAATTAAAATATATAAGTGTGTAACAGATGTGTTTAAGATGACTCTCAGCTACTACCAGCACAAAGGACCTTATAGTTATAACCATTTTGTGTTGGCTAAGGTGGATTAACTGTTGAGGCCATCTTGAATTGGGTTAACACCAAATGTTTTATAGCGTATAGATACAGAGACGATGAATTTTGAAACATTTTACTAAAATGTGTCCATTGGTTCATGTCATAATTTTGTTCACAGACAGTATTGACTCTAAAAGTTAATGCTTTTAAGTAAGTTTTAAGCAATGGACAATGTGCAGAGCTTTAAGTATGTATGTCCATCCATCCAGTCATCCATCCATCATCTTCCGCTTATTCTGCAGTCGGATCGCGGGTGCAGCAGCTTGAGCAGGGAGGCCCAGACATCTCTTTCCACAGTCACCTCTTCCAGCTCTTCTGCCTTCTGGAAGGACCCCAAGGTGTTCCCATGCCAACCGAGAGACGTAGTCTTTCCATCGTGTCCTGGGTCTTCCCCGGGGTCTCCTCCCAGTCCGACATGCCTGAAGCACCTCCCTAGGGAGGCGCTCAGGAAGCATCCTTACCAGATGCCCAAACCACCTCAACTGGATCATTTTGATGAGGAGGAGCAGCGGTTCTACTATGAGTCTCTCCAGGATAACTGAACTTCTCACACTATCTCTAAGGGAGGGTCCAACTACCCTGCAAAGGAAACTCATTTCAGCCGCCTGTATACTCAGTCTCGTTCTTTCTGTCACTACCCAGAGTTCATGACCATAGGTGAGGGTAGGAATGTAGACTGACTGGTAAACAGAGCTTTGCTTTACAGTTCAGCTTCCTCTTCACCACAACGGACTGGCACGGAGTTTGCAATACTACCGACACTGCACCGATCCATCTATCAATCTCACGCTCCATTCTTCACTCACTTGTGAACTAAACCCTGAGATACTTGAACTCCTCCACTTGAGGCAGAACCTCACCACTGACCCGAAGAGAGAAATCCACTCTTTTCCAACTGAGGAACATGGTTTCAGATTTGGAGGTGCTGGTTCTCATCCCTTGAAGCTTGAAGTACGTGTTGATTATATAAAGAAGATGATGTGAAAAGATGCCACTTGGCTTCTAAATCACCACATTAAAGGTTATCAACATTGAACCTGAAATGAGTAATTGTTCTAATGTGCACAGGATTTCACTCAAAATCATTTTTCCTCGGTTTAATATAAAATACATAAACTTACACACAGTCTCAAGAGTACTCCATCATCTGAAATGTCGTAGTTTTTTAAAGCTTGTTTAAAATGAAATCATTTTATTGCAATAGCTCCAGTAGCGGAACTTAAACTAATAAATGCAACTTCCAGGATCAATTCCAGTAAAAAGAGTGTCTTGTGTTCTCAGTATGACACTGTGCACAAAGCTTTGAAAAGCTCTAAAAGTGTTTGTTCTGTGTTTATTATTAACAATTGCACTAAATTGGAGAGTCATTTTGCATGGAGACCTGCTGCACTTCGTCAATGGAAAAACCAAACATAGTATGAATCTGTAACTTGATTGCGATGATGCTGATTATGCACTATTAAATTGACTCTGACATTTCTTGTGCCTTGGGAAAATGGGAAAATGAATCTGGGCGCAGAGCATCGTATAGTTTGTGTGTACGTTTGCTGCTGTGACTGAACAATCTTCACCTTCAAAGTAACTCGTGATGCTGAAGTGTTGAAGTGCAAATGTTGCAGCCACCCCACCAGTTCCTTTCTGCATACTGAGCTCCAGCTCCACTTAATCTAGGCAATGTTTACAATCCTGTTCATCAAATCCTGAAAAGATTTTGTTCAGCTTGTCATGCAGCTGTTTTCTGTCTTGTCATTGTGGCCTTGTGGGCTCAGATAAACTCTCAACTTTACTTGGAATTGAGCCCTTAAAGGGGAAACAGTGTGTTTTTTCCAACTCATCCTCTGCTTTGTGTGTATTGGTCTCACAGACACTTTTTGCGGGTCTGCGTTGCATAACATTTGCGCAAGGGGAGGTGTTAAGTGAGATGCTGAGAAGAATCAGGGATGAAGAGGTGTGGATGATCTGGACTCTCCTCAGTTAAGCACTTTGGAAAAGCAATTATTTGAGTGGGAGGTAAATCTATTCTTTCTCCCTCTTTTGACAATATAGACCTAAGTAGGTCTATATTATAAAGCATTGACAGGCTTTCATTAAGACTGCTTTTTTGTGGATCTTCATGCCCCGATGTGGAGCTGGTGAGGTTGATTTTCACAGCATTGGGAGGCATCTTAACTGATAGTGTGGCCCCGAAAGGGAATACCATGATCGTGCTGGTATAAATGTAATAGATAGAAAGAAAGGTGTGTCACACTGGAGTTTTGTAGAAAAGGCAGGTACTGAGCACACAGTGCCATCTTGTGATTATACAAAGGAAGACAGCGCGCGCTCTAAGCAAAAGCGTCTGATGGTTTGTAGCAAATTACTGTGACAAATCAGAATATAAGTCCCATTTTATCTATTTTCTTGAATGGCCTTCACAGATTTTATCATTAAAATTATGTCAAAAGAGAAAAGGGACTGTGGTTCAAAAAAATGTTTGTAGAATACAAAATTTCCCAGGATATTGAAGGCATCCTCAATCAGTACATGATGTTTCCACAGATGATCGAGTTAGTGCTGTAGCTGCCTTCAGATGGCAGTGTTGTCCTCTGCATCAGTACTGGCAGCACCTTTTACTTCTAAAAGGAGAAACTGTGCAGCAAATGCTGTTTTGTTCATGTGGCAAGCCTCAAACGCCAACATAGGTTGAAGTTTTAAATTTAGACCATAACAAAACAAACTGATTTGTTTTTCATGAGTGCATATGTGCAGACATTTACAGTACTGGGCAAATGATACCCCCTTATTACGCTTTGTTTTCAGTAAGCATTTTTGTCATTTTGAGATAATCGCCAGGCTTTCTGAATGTTTTTTTAAAGCTCTTCTTTCTTCTAGGGCTTTGGCTGCTTTTTCACTTGTTTTCTGTTCAGTACTTGTACCCAACCATATCAGTATGTTTTGTAGTTTGTACTTAAAACTGAAGTACTGAAGTTCCATATTTTAATGTATAGTGTATTTTAGAATGGTTTTAACTGCATGTTTTTAATTGATTCAGCAAAGCTTGGTTTTAAAGTTTTTTAATCACATTTTTATTTTGTTTTTATAAGCCAGATGTCAAAGACGAATCTCCATTTCATTGAATGTTATGGACAATAAAGTTGAATTGATTGATTGATTGATTGATTGATTGATCATCAAAACCAAGACACAGAATCAACGTGATGCATCATTTGATACAATTAAAAAATATTTATTTAATAAGTTGTCTGTTTTGTGTTGATCCAACTCAGATTTATCCTTGGAATTTAAGAGCATTCCCTTCCTCTTAAGTCATAT